TAGGGTGTGGGGTCAGGACGGAGGCTTGGACCCACATGCTTGTTTCTCTAAGACACCTCCAAACTCTAGAAAACAACAAGGAGATACTGACAAAGGGAATAATTCTCTAAGCCTGCTGGGCATAGGGATGTGGTGGAGCCTCCCAAAGGAGGGAGGCGGATTGGGGTGGGGGCCTCAGTGGAGCTGGCGGTGGGGGTTCTGGGGACTTCAGGGGGGATTCAGCCTGTTGCTTAAGCCCTCAGTTTATAGATTTGTTACAGCAGCACAAGCTAATACACAAGGTTAAAAAACCACGTGCCAGGGCGGCCTTGGGGAATTGGAACCTGGACCTCTTCAGCTTGATACTTGGGTAGTTTCATATTTCCAACGCTTACACTAATGGGATTTTAATTACATAAACGATTAGGCATAATGTGTGGTTGGGTGTCCTGGTTTTCCAAGAAAATTATTTAATTTCTCTGGGGGAAAGTGCAGATAAATTTGTAGTTTATTGCTCTGCATCCAACAAAGAATTTGCATGAGTGAGTAAACAAGTCGGTGAGCATTGAGAGTTCAGAAACACAAAGCTGAATTGCCCCCCTTAGGGTGGGCCTTCCAGCTTGGCAGCAGCCGCTCAAGGACAAGCTACAAAGACCGCAAAGGTTGCCCATCCAGCGTGGCTCAGTGGTTGAGCATCAACCTATGAACCAGGAGGTCACGGTTCGATTCCCTGTCAGGACACATGCACCGGTTGCAGGCTCAATCCCCAATAGGGGGCGTGCAGGAGGCAGCCGATCAATGATTCTCTCTCATCATGGATGTTTCCATCTCTCTCTCCCTTTCCCTTCCTCTCTGAAATCAATAAAAACATATTTTTAAAAAACCCACAAACAAAAACAAAGACCATAAAAGTCATTCCCTTTCCCCTCGCCAGCAGGCTCTTTCCTCTGACTCCTGGGTCCCCAGGGATCAGATGAGGTCACATGGAGGGTCCAGCTCCCCTACCTTTGCCCAGGCCAGGCCAGGCTCAGCCCTGAAGCCGATGATCCAAGCCAAGGACCCAGGTTCCAGCCCCCAAGGGCAGGTGGGGGCTTCCTGCATAGGGTCGCAGGGAGCCTGGACCAGCTAAGAGGACAGGGGATGGAGGCCCTCTTGTCTGTTGTGCCTCATGATGCCCAAGCTCCACACCTAGATGGCAGGGAAACCAGGGCAGCCAGCCCTGACCCATCCCTCAACAAACAAGGCAGCCAGGCCAGTGCCTGCTGTGTGGGAGAAGGCCCCATTGTTCTGGGCTCCTGACAGAGTGAGTTCTGGGGCACGCCCATGGAGGGGATTATGGCCTTGTAAATGCCCAGTAAATCCCCTCGAGGGGAGCCCTGATCCCAAGGGACAAAGGGCCTGTGTTGAGTCTTCCTCAGCCTCAGGGCCAGCTCTGGGCCAAGGTGGAACAGGGGGTGGGTCTCTTCCAGGATGGGGGCCTCCTACACAGGTTTGCACTAGTGTAGGCATGTGTGTAGGAGGCATGTGTAAGCTCCTATGCATAGCGTTAGTGGGCAAGTGTGTGTGTTTAGGGCACATCCGTGTGTGAGCGCATGTGTGTGCATGTGCCTCCGTTATAACTCGTGGCTCTATGAAAATACACCTCATGTGTACTTTCGGGCAACTTGTGCCATCCCCTCTTTGTTCAGGCCAGAAACTCTCTTCCTCCAACTCCCACCCCAGGTAGTGCTTCCTGGAGTCTGGGCCCAGACAGACCCTCCTCTGGGCTCCAAACCCTGCCAGCCTGGAGCTGGGAAGAAGGCACCTGAATTAGCAGCCAAACGCCCCAAAATTCCCTCAGGCTGGGCTGGGGCTGGAACAGAAGGCCCTTTGTGCAGCCTCCTGGCTCCTGCCACCCAGGAGGCCCTGGGCCTCTTCTGTCTCCTTCTGGCAGGAGGTTCCTGGGACCTGGGTGGGAGGGCCTGGGAGGCCAGTTCAGGGCCAGAGGAAAGGGTGCAGTTTTCAAGATAGAGCACCTCTCTGCTCTGGTCTCCCCAAAAGGGTGGCTGTTAAATGAAACCCTTCTGCAGCCCCCCAAGCCCCGTGTGACCAGTACCATGGATGGGGCTGTGGCTGTTCCGGAGCAGGGAAACAGGGCACACCAGAGTCCCGCTGACTTTATGGGTGAAGGGCCATGTTTAGGTTTTCTAAGTTTTTTTGTTTGTTTGTTTTTGTTCGTAGTTAAGGTGATTAACTACCCGAAGGTCTTTTTTTTTTTTTTTTTAATTGGTTTCAGAAAGGAAGGGAGAGGGAGAGAGAGAAACATCAATGATGAGAGAGAATCATTGATTGGCTGCCTCCTGCATGTCCCCTACTGGGGATCGAGCCCCCAACCCAGGCATGTGCCCTGACTGGCAATCTAACCTGGGACCTCCTGGTTCATAGGTCAGAACTCAACCACTGAGCCATGCCAGCCAGGCATCTAAGTCTCTCTCTCTCTCTCTCTCTCTCTCTCTCTCTCTCTCTCTCTCTCTCTCCAGCTTAAAACAATACACATTTATTATCTCGCAGTTTCTGTGATGTCCAGCAAGGGTGACTGGGCCTTCTGCTTAAGGTCTCACATGGCTGAAGTCAAGGTGTCTCAGGTCAAGTAGGGAAGAACCCACTTCCATGTTCATTCAGGTTGTCAGCAGAATTCAGTTTCTTGCAGTTGTAGAATCCCTACCCCGGCCCCCCTGGCCCTGCTCATCTTCAAAGCCAGTAATGGCGCATGGAGTCCTTCTCCTGTTTCAAGTCTCTCTGACTCCCCCTTCTGCTGCATCTCTCTAGGTTTCCTGTCTTAAAGTCTCTGTCATGAGGATTCAGCTCTGCCGTAGTGGAAAGCAGCCCCAGACTACATGCAAATTGGTGGGTGGGGCTGAATGCTGATAACACTTCATTGATGGGTGATGGCACTGGGATTTCATGGAATGTTCATGTGGCACAAAATGCTATTCTTTTGAATTTTTTTCTAACCATTTAAACATGTGAAAAGTGTTCTTAGCTCACAGGCTGTGCAGAAACAGGAAGAGGCCCAGATCTGGCTGCAGGCTGGACCCCGGGCCTAAGAACCTAGGTAATAAAGTTGCCAGCTAAACAGGGCCTCCACTCCATCTCTCAGTCCTCACAGCATTGCCATCTCAGTGAAAGCAGACTGTTCTGTTCCTGGCGAACCAGCACTCCCGGAGCAAGTCTGTCTGTGCACACACGAGGCCATTCTCTTTTAGCCAAATGGGGACATAAACCCTCGAGTTTCCACCGGCCTGTGTCCTTGGGCAATGTGTCGGTGCAGCAGGAGTGTTCTATTCCTTCTTCACATCGTGTACTACAGTGGGGCCTTGACTTACGAGTGTCCCGACTAACGAGTTTTTCGAGATACGAGCCGTCTCTCGGCCGATTTTTTGCTTTGAGTTGCGAGCTAAAATTCGGGTTACGAGCCAGCTTCAGATACCCCACCGCTAGTTGGCGCAGCAAACATCACAGTGAACGCCACAACATCAGCCCAGCATCACGTGTCTCACTCGTTCACTTTTGATTTGACATACGAGTAATTTGAGTTACGAGCTCTGTCACGGAACGAATTAAACTCATAAGTCAAGGCCCCACTGTATTTCCCTGCATAGATGACACAATCATTTATTTAATAGGTTTGCCTCTAGACGTGTAAGTCCGCTGTTTCGAATCTGTGATTGCAAAGGATGCTGCAAAGTAAAACCTGCATGGCATAAGTCTTCGGTGTTCAGGCTCTCAGCTGGAGAAGCATCTTGTTGAATTGTCACAACATCCTGTGAGTCAGTTCTACTGTTATCCGTACATATCAGATGAATCAAGGCACACAGAGGTGATGTACACGCCCCAAATCCCATGACTAGTAAGTACAAAAGACAGGATTTGGACATGATCTGGCTCCAGCACCCATGCCCACAATTAGCCCCTATCAGTTTTCGTAAAGATTTTTTTATTGATTTTGAGAGACAGCGAGAAACAGCGATTTGAGAGGGAAACATCGATCGGCTGTCTCTTGTATCCCCCTGACCGGGGATTAAGCCCGAAACCTGAGCCTGTGCCCTGACTAGGAATCAAACCGGAAAACCTTTGGGTGCAGAGGGCAATGCCCAACCAACGGAGCTACACTGGCCAGGCCATCAGCCCCATCTTGATGACTATGACCCCATGGCTCTTCCAAAAGGTTGGGGAGGCCCTGTGGACAGCCTTAGGTCCAGCCCTCACACAAAGCTAGACTTGCTGCACCAGCAGGGTCCCCTCAACCCTGGGAAGTACCCTATTACCTCCAGATAAGGTCTGACCCCTTGGCCTGGCCCCAGGCCCTCTCAGAAGGACTGGCCAGGAGGCTCACCTCTTCCCAATCCTCTGTGCCTCCTGTCATGTCACCTTTGCTGTTGGTTATCCCACACCCCATTGAGGCTGTTTCATCCCCAGCTACTCTCAGACCTGGCACAGAGGAAAGATCACAGACATCTTCCACGTGACAGACCCTGGGAGGCCAACACCTCGCACCAGACACACAGAACGTGATTGTCCTCCCGGCTCTCAGAGAGGGGAGCTTGACCTGGACTCCTGAAAGCCCAAGGGACCATGGGCTCTGCCCAGACCTGAATGAGGTCCTCAGTCCAATTGTGCACAAGGCAGGAACCCTGGACTCCACGAACCGTGGACATTCCACCAATGGCACCTCATGGGGTTGAAACCTGTCTGGCCAACCCGGAAAGGGCTGTCAGCAAACTCCCCACACCTCTGAAGTCAAGGTCTAGTTCAGGTGCTCAGAGGTGGCAGCAAAATCCCATGTCCCAGTTCTGTTTTGTTTGCGTAAGCTCTGGGGCCAAGACAACAAACACAGCATGTCCATCCGGGAGCCTCCCCCAGGAAGAGCCCCCACCGATCTGTCTTCAGGGTGTCCCCTTCTCCTTCCTTCTGGATGGGGGCCCACAAGGCCTGGGGTATAAAAGGCCAGGTGGAGGGTGCCTAGGCGCAAGTCTCCCCAGCGCCAGGCTTGGGTGACAAGACTTTCCTGGCCAGGTAGGGCGGTGCTCCCCTCCCATGGATGGGACGGACCAGGTCAGGCAGGGCCCTTCTCTGAGAGCCTGGTGGCCTGTCCCTTCTTTCCAGGAGCCTTGGGACACGGGAGCCAGAAACCATGCTGCTGTGGCTGACCCTTACCATCCTGTGGAGCACCACCTGCTGGGCAGATCGTAAGTGTCTGGGTCTCCCTCCCTCCAGCCCATCCCCTGGGTCTGGGCTCGGCCCTTGACTAACTCTAGTCTCAGGACCATCCCATCTGCCTGGAGGGGCTTCATCCAGTTCTGCAAAAAGATAACCGATATATTACTGTGTAATTTTTTCTCTCTCCCTCACCTGGTTCTTTCGTCCATCTAGAGATGTATGGGAATGGAGGAGGCACGTATTTCAGTTCCTCTATAGACAATAAAAATGACATATCTGGGATCCGGGTGTCTATAAGTCCTATAGGCATAATTAGGAGGTGAGTAGAGGCTGGGCACAAAGTCCTATCTCTGTCCCAATGCATGCCACTGTCTTGGGAACTTGGGGAGGGGGGCTCAGCGCCTCTTCCCCAACATCTTCACTGGGCTCCCGATGACTCCTTGAGGCCAGTCTTGGAGTCATGCAGCTACCAGCCATCACCTTTCGGTTTGTCCCTTTTCCTCAGCCACCTCCTCTCCTGCACACCAGTCCCACTTCTTTCTGTCTCCACCTGCAAGTGCAGACATTGCTACTTGGGTTGATCTAAAAACGGGATAAATAATGCTTCTCCCTACTTGCTCCTTTCAAACCAAACTCAACTCAACCAAAAACAGCCTTTCAGTCTGAGAATGCCTGATGGGAAATTCAGGGGGGAGGTTAGGGTCAAAGAGGAAGGAAGTGAGGGTCAGAGTGGACCACTGCTTGAGCACAATTCACCAGACCCTGTAGAGGCAGAAAGCCCAGGGCCATTCCCCTAATGTTAGGGAGGTGTCCTTGTTTGAAGCCTGGGGGAAATCTTTGCTCTACACTTAGGGGGTCACAGGGACCTGGGAGAGAGAATGGAGGAGAGCAGCCAGTAGCAAAGGGGACAGAGTATGGGGTAGGGAGCAGCGGAGGAGGAGGCTCTTGGCTAGGCATCAAGGTGTGAAGGACACAGATAACTCAGATGAGCAAAGCTAGTGGGATTCCCCCAGGCGAGTGTGAGAAGTCACTTGCTTCTCAGGCCTGCAACCTGATCTGGTTGGAGTGATTTGGGCTCAGAAAACCCAAGCTTGGCTGGGGATCAGCTCCCTGCTCTGAGCAAGGATGACAGTTGGCACCGCCTGAGGGTCATGGTGACCCGGCATTTAGCAGAGCTCTCCTTCTGGATGATCTCAGTGCCTGCTCCCCACAATCACCCCCACACTGCAGATGAAGACGCTGAGGCCCAAAGGCTGGGCCACAAGCCCAAGACCACAGAGCCCGAAAGCCGCAGAGCAGCCTGTCTGTCTCAGGATCCCCAAGTCATGTGCTCAGGGACTTAGAGTCGCAGTGACAGGGCTGTTCTCCTTGCTGGTGGCTGCGGGGAGGGGTGTGTGAGGGATAGAGGACCTGGGGGTGATGCGTCAGCCTGAATCCAGAGTGTTCAAAGCTCCTCTTTCTTCCAGTATCCAGCTGAGATATGGATCCGCTTGGAGCCAAATATATGGCGTCTCAGGTGGGCATGCCCAGGAATTCATCCTGCAGCCAGATGAATACATTATAGGGCTGGTCGGCTCACACAGGGTCTACCTCCGCTACCTGGTTGTATACACCAACTTGGGGCGCTGGGCCCCATTCGGGCAGGAGAGTGGCCGCAGCTTCATCGTCTACCCCAGCGAGCCCGGTAAGGTGCTCACAGGACTCTTCGGCCAGACTCAACTCCTTGGCATCACAGGCATCGGTTTTAAATGGGATTATCCTCTAGCAGAGCAGGAGTCTACACCACCAAGCACACCCCAGAATACTGAAGTATCTGGCTGATACGCCAAGGTCTCAGCTTGGTCCCTAGTCAGGGCACATACAAGAATCAGCTATGAATGCATAAATCAGTAGAACAACAAATCAATGTCTCTCTCTCTCTCTCAAATTAATTAATAAAAATTTTTAAAAAGAACAACTAAATAACACCATAAAAAATGAGTACTCCCGGGTCCCCAGGACTGGGGGCATGGGTCACCCTGTGGAGGCCGTTGGGCTGGTGGTAGCCCTGGGATAGCCAAGTCGGGGCGCTGAATCAGAATCCCCCAAATAAAGCTTCTGCTGCAGGAACAGGGTGTCCGGGTGTGGTCCTTGGGTCTGTGTACAACCAAAGCCCTCTGAGCTTGTGGGGAATGTGGCCTCTGGGTTAGAGCTCAGGGAACGGAGCTGCAGGATGAGACAGGAGGTGGGTCTGACACCCCACGCCCCAGCGATTCTGCTGAGGATGCAGGACCGACCTTGGGCTGACTCCCCAATTTTTGAGGATTCTGGGCTCCAAGGATGCCCCCCAGCCCTGCTCGCCATCCCAAGCCCAGCCCGTGGGCCTCTGCTGGCCCCGGCTCACTTCTCTGAGTGTGTCAGTGGCCTCAGGGAAGCCACTCATTCATTCACTCACTCAGCACATATTTGCCAAGACCTCCCCCATTCAGGCTCTCCTGGGAAGCAGGGGTGTGAAGAAGAGTCCAGATGTTCCGCTGAAGGGCACCTCCTGGGGGCGAGTCCGTCACTGACGCAGATGGTGGCAGTTGGTTGTGGCATCTGTGTTGATGGGGACACATGCAGGGCATCGGACATGGGCACCTCCCCGAGGTGGGGTGGTCGGGATGTGCTTCAGGAAAGCCTTCCTGGAAGAGCTAAGTCCTAGGGGCCGAGTGAGAACAGGCCAGATGGAGACGTGGGGAAGAGGTCATTCCAGGCGGAGGGAGCAACACGGGCAAAGGTGAGAGCCAGAGACAGCCAAGGACACCGCTCCTTGAAGTGTGGTAAGTGATTATGGCGGCAACGGAGAACTAGTGCAGACCCAGGCCTCGCACACTCTTCATCTCTCCGTTCACAAGCCGGGACTCCCACAGGATCTCTCACCAAGGCCCGAGTCCCAGAATCCTCCGGGACAAGGTTTCCAAACATTCTGGACCATGGCCACAGGAAGAAGCACATTCTATTGCTGTGACACGGAGCACACACACATCTGTCAAACTGCAACAGCCAAACAATCATGGTGCCCAGTGCCCATCCCACCTGAACTCCCTGCTCATGGGGGCCCTGGAAGGACAGGACTTCCACATCACCGTCTACTAAAGGAGAAAACGAAGGCACAGAGAGCACGGTGGCTTGGCCTAGGCCCCACAGCCGCTCACGGCAGAAAAGGAGGTTCAACCTGACGTGGTCTGGCTGCAGAGTCTGGGCTCAGAACCACAGACCAAAGCAACCGATTCTCATCTTCCTGGGTGAGGTGAGGCTGACATATTTATTTTTCTGTACTTTAATTTTAAATTCTGGTTGAGAGCCACTTTTGATTCTTAACTTGGAGTCTGTGGGGGAAATGCAGAGAACCCATGAACTTGGGTGAGGAAAAAATTACCTCCTTGTTTCCATCGTCTTCTACTGGAAATTTTGTTTTTCCTTCCATTATTAATGTGACCTTGTCCACCTCATCAACAGGACCTGCGACTTTCTCATATTAATTACAGTTGTCCAGGTATCTTGAAATATACACTCATCCCTACTTCAAAGTGATGGGTGTTTTAGACGTGTCTTTCAAGGTGTCAGGAGTAACAGCACAGAAATACACAGAACACGTATCCGCACCATTCTGACAGGTGCATCGGAGGTAGCTGCGCAGGACCCCCTTGTCCTCCGATGCGGGGGTGGGGGGGGGGAGGCGCACCTTGCACCCCTCCTCCTTCCTGCTCCTCCAGGCTTGAGGGCCCTGCTGCTGCATAATTGGTTTCTTGCCCTTGATTTGCTAAAAGGGAAACCTGTTTTCAGTTATAAAGGGATTCTTGACCCCTTCATGGGTGCTCACCTTCCTTGGGACTGACAAGTGCAAAGGGGGTCCCTGCTTCCCGAAACCTCCTGGTGTGGCCACAGGATGGTCAGAGATGGGAGAGCACTAACCGTCATTGCCTGTGACAGGGATCAGGCAGGATGAAAGGAGAGAGAGGAGAGTGGGGAGAGGAAGGGGAGGGGGAGGAGGACAGACATGGCACCAGCTCAGGGGCTGTTGTGCAGACAAACTGTGCAGCACAGTGGGCGGCACCGTGGATCCTTATTTGTGGAGGAGTTCTCAGGAATCCTCCATCCTTCCGGCAGCACACCCAGCGCGTCCCCCTGCCAAGCTCTGCCTGGCACCTGGGAGCCAGGCGCTGGTTCAGACGCCCCACCTTTGCTCAGGACTTGGGGGGTCATCAGGGTGCAACTCTCGCATAGTGCTGGGGTCCAGGGCCCACTCCCTGTGGTGACAAGGACCACACGGGCTCTGGTATGTGCAGGACCTTTTTTTTTTTTTTTTTTTTGTGCAGGACCTTTAAGACTGAACACGAGCATTCAGGGTCTCTCTGGCCATGCCCATTGGTACTCGCACGAGTCACCTGGACGCCCGGCTCTGCCAGGTGAGCGAGCGCCAGGTGGGACCCAGGACCCTCAGGCCACCTCCCTGGGACCCCTTCCCCGCGCTGGCCTTTAACTCTCTGGTCACCGCAGCGGGTCCTGAGCGGGCGGACAGCTTCTCCGGGCAGATCGCCACCTGAAGCCGATCCTAGACGGCAGAAGAGTCCCTCCCTGCTGGCCGCTGGCTGACAGGAGCTGCTGGCGGCGGCCGGGAGGAGGGGCGCCCAAAGGCGGGCCGCGGAGCTGGGGAAGGCGGTCTGTCGCCCCCTGCTGGTGCTCGGGAGCAGGCGCTGGATGCTGGCGCGCGCTGCGGGCCCGCGGGGATGCGCTCCCCAGCCCAATGCAGGAGTACCTGGGCCTGGGTACCCGGGCTGCAACGCCCCCAAACCTCAGCTGGATTCTGGGAAGGAGTGGGACTCCCTGGCGGGGCCCCGCTCCATCCCTCCTCCCAGCTCAGCCAGTTCCCCAACCCCCCCCCGCAGCATCTAGGAAGGCCTTCCTGCATCTGCCCAGCTCTGAGCTGGACCGGCAGCCGCTTCACCCCGGAGGAGTGGCCGGTTCTTTCCCTTCTGTAACCACCTTCCGGCCCGGGCTGCTCCTGGGGCCTCTCTCCGGGACAGGTGCGGTGCTCCCCGTCCTCCAGACCAGTGGCCACGGCCCCTCCCTCCAAGGAGGCCTCTTTAGGACGCATCCCTCCTCCTCGGTCTCCGAGTGTGGGCAGGAGACCCACAGCTGTCGTCTTGGTCGCGCGCTGCCTCTAAGTCTATTCCTGCGTGTCCTTGGGGGGCGGTGGACAGCTGCCAGCCGGCGGGGCAGAGCCCACAGCCACGGGTGTGGTGTGCCGTCACCTCCTGCTGCCCTGGCGGGAAGGACTCTCTAAGAGTGTGGGCAGCTGTCCCGCTCGGGCCTTCTGTGGCGGCTCCCACCGTCCACCCAGAGCGAAGGCTGAAGGCTGCCCGCACTGCCCCCTTGGCCCACGCCATCGCCTAAAGCCCATGGCCACAGGTGGAGCCTGACCCACGCGGAGCCGGCCGTTCTCAGGGCCACAGGCGGGCGGGTTCTGCGTGTGCCTGGTGCGGTCACGTGTGAATACCGGCCTTGGGGCAGCCTGTCCACCAAGGGGCTGAAAACTGAAGAACAAAGAACAGCAGAAAGACAGAGAGAGGGCCCGAATGGCCTTCCAGCCAGGCTCTCTAGACTGTCTAGATCAGCTATTCCCGCTCTTACATTCCAAGATACATCCCAAGGAGGAATGCCAGGAAAAATGCAGGACACCCAGTTAAATTCGAATTTCAGGTATACAATGAATAATTTTTTTAGTCTAAGTATATGTATATCAAACATTGCATTTTTAAAAAGTATAACTATGTCCCAAATATTGATTTTTTTTATTTTAATTTTTATTTATTTATTTATTATTATTATTATTTTTAGTGTAAGCATATCCCAAATACTGCATGGGGCATAGTTATACTAAAAAATCATTTGAGTATGTCTGAAACAAACTGTAATGGGTGCACTGTATTTTTATTTGCTGAATTTGGCAGCCCTAACCCAAGACACTTGGGAGCTGTGGGAGGAGAGGGTGCTGGGGGTGTGTGTGTGGGGGAGTGGTCAGGACTGGGTCTGTCAGGGAGGACCGCCACTCTAGCCAGAGGAAAGGACAGATCAGGGAGACAGAACCGCACATGATGAAGCGGGTCTCTGCTGAGGCACCAGGAAAACCCCAGAGAAGGGATCCTTCACACGTTCCCATTTGACACCGTGTGCCCCAGCCTTTCCAAGCTTTGAGCACTTTCACCAGCTTCATTTAAGACTTGCCTGTCCCCCACTCAAGGCCGAATCGTCCCCTCTCTCTAGCACCCAGAGCCTAGGTGGGACCGAGGGTGTGCTGGGTGGAGTCACCAGGAAGCAGGAGCTGGGAGGGCAGGGCCTGCTCTAGGGGCTCCAGTGGTTTCAAACCCTCCTCGGAGAAGCAGCACAGAGTTGACACATTTGGGGAGCCAGCCCTAGGGCCCTGAGTCTTACTCACCCCTTGATGAGGCCCATCACCCCCAGGGAGTGGGGCAGAAAGTGAGGGGGCAGGACAGGTCCTGGGTTCAGGGGCCACTTCTTCAAATGTCTGGCTCAGCTCTGCATTCAGCAGGGGGGAGGCCAGGCTTCATGCTGGGGGGTAAGGACAGAAAGGGCCGGGTCTTACCCTGAGCGCTGAAGGCAGGACTGAGAGGAGTGAGAGGACGGGAACCACAGCACGGCTCCGAGGTGGCACCCCAGGACCTGGACCAGGGGGTCGGGGTGACAGACTTCGAGAACACTTCAGGGGCGGCTCTGGGGAGGAGAGATCAGGTGTGAGGACTCCTGGGGCTCCTGGAGGTAGAGGAAAGGGAACCGAGGAGAACCTTTTCCTACAGGTTTCAGGGCTTAATGAGGAGACAGAGTCCAGGGCTGTTTCACGGCTGTGCCACCT